AGTTCTATGCTTCTATGTGTTTAAGGGCCCATGAACTGAAGAACTGCAAGTCACTGCTCTTAATGGAAAACACTCTGAAGATTTGGAAGTCCAGCACTTAATCCCATTAAGCCCATAAATTGGCAACTAGATGAAAAAGCTCGTTGCCATTTAAATTATATAAGAGAACATATACTGCATAAACAGAAAATTGTGTAAGAAGAGAGCTGTGCTTACTTGAATTGAGAAGAATCCACTATCATCCATATTTACAGAAGGCTGCTGCTCAGTGTGAGATTGGGAGGGAGAAAAGAGAAAAATGGTGTAAGCATAAAAGGTCAGAAATAATTGAGTTTTGAAAATAAATGTAATTGCATATTCTTAAAGCAACAACTTGTTATGTCCTTGTCTGTAAGGCTGATTACAATGCTCCAAACAGGCATATTAATTTAAAACTCAAACCTTTAAATTAGAAATGCTCAGTGCTTAAAGGGCAGACAGGCATGGGCACTTCTGTTCCTATCTGACACTGGATTACAAAAACAAAAGGCTAATCACCAATCCTCCTTGCCATCTTTGACCTTTCTACTTGTAAGATGAATGTAGCTTTCTGTAGAATTATCGTGCTAATAACATTTGAAAATGCCAAATCTAAGATGCATGAATGAAAAGGACTACAAATTTAAGAACTTTCAGCACTAGAAAATTAACCTTGTCTAGCTTAGCAAGAACAGCAGGTCTGTGCTAAACAATGTTACATTTCAGGCAAATATGAAGCAACCCCAAATTAAGATGATTTTACCTGTAAAAATGTTCTGTATTCTTCACTAGATACTCCTCCCTCTGCCATTCTCATCCTTTCTTCCTCATCCAACTGCTGTGCAATAGAGGATAACTCTACAGGACTAAAGTATTCCCCTTGCAGCAAATTATTCAGACAGTGTTGAGCACACAATGAGCCTTCTTGCTAATATTGGATGAGAAAAAATACCAAAGACAACAAGAAGATCAGGTTTACATAAACTCTATAAAATGACTCAACCATTTCATTCTGGCAAACTTCCTGCCCTCCCCACTCACCCAGAATACCATGTATTCTTTGAATGTATACACTGCAAGCTATAGAATACAACCCTCCCATTAACTTTATGGGAAAAAACAAACAGGCACACTTTCCTCAAAGGAAATTAATTTCATGTAAAAAATGTTTTTGAAAACACCGTAAAAATTGCCAATGACCCAACTGAATCACACAGGGACTCTGCAACCAATGGATTCTGTCCTCTTCCAAATCACCACCACGTGAAAACAAAACAGTTTAGATTTCTACTTCTCAGTAACTAATGTTTTCTGTTAACAGACACTCATTCTTCTTTAACTTTTCTTCCCTGACAGGTGTGGCTGTTGAAATCTGCTCTCTGCATTATTGCTGAGGAAGTGATTTGGAGCTGGAGGAGCAGTAAAGCTCATTTTCTATACGAAATTTGCATATAGGAAGTAGGTAAAAGAAGCTCCACTAGTCCTAGAACCCTGATGACAATGATGAGGGGACCAGAAAAAACTTCTTAAATTCAGCACCAAAACATGTGAAAATATATTTTGTTGATAAACTATTTAAATAAAAAGTGTTTTAGATACTTTGTTACACATCCAGTGGATTGCAGATAACAGAAATGCAATGTAACATTTTTAGAATGTCAACACAAATTTAAAGTCAGTCAATTAGAAGTGTCAGTCATGATTTTGTAGGACAAAATAAAAAATATCTAATCTGAATGAATGCATGTCAAGCTCCATTATTTTTCTATGGGCAGATAAATTACTGCCATGTTAAAAAAAAACAACAAAACAACACAAATCAACCAAATTAGAGTTTCCCATGCAAAAGCCACCTTTCTCTTTTTACAAATAACTAAACTCCAAGTGAAAGACAAGTAGCATCAGTTTTAAAATCCTGCTTTTCTCTTTAATCAGTCTTCACTTTTATTTACATTAAGAACTCTAATGTCCATGCCCTATTAAAAACAAAACCAGAACCCCTTAACAAAAATACAGAACTCCCCTCCCTCATGCCAGACACATAGAAACTAAGAATACAAGAGTATGCCTCTGAGGAATATTCTTTAAACTTCCATGAAAGCTTCACACAAATCCCACGTAGAACACTCTCATGATCTCCCTTGAAGCAGAATCCTTGAAATTTCCCTTTACTCCAGATTACAGAATCTTCCAAGGGCTTCATCAGTTAATTGAGCAATGAGTTATTAAAACCAGACTGGCTGTACAGCCAGGCTTCAATGGAATCCAGAAACCTCCTCTTGGCTCACACTCCTCCAGTAACAAGAAACTCAAGACTGAACACCAGCTCCTGTCCCTCGGGACCACATCCCTACTGCTGGTCATATGACAAACTGTAACAGCAGAACCTGCTCAACAATCACAGGTTTCTCCATTAGACATAATAAAATACCTCTAAAAATTAGTTGTACTACAGGCTTACATCTTAATTTCACTAAAAGGACTTTTCTGTATTTGTACAGTTTTATCTTAAAAATAATAAACCTTAATTTTCATATGGAAATGTTATACATATCAAGTGCAAAATGCAGAAAACAGATCATACGATTTTTACAGACATTAATTTCTGTTCTTTTGTGCAGAGAACATTACACTTCTCCTAACCTGAAATCCTCTCGTTGAAACCTGTCCTGATACAAACTGCTGCCCTGCCTTCAGTCTTTTCAATCACTTATATCTTATTAAGGAAATGACAAACTTCTAAGATGGGGGCTCCTGAAGCACCATCCTTAAATCCTACTTTCTGCAACTGTCATTTCAGTCTTAAAAGTGACACATTGCCTACTTCCTAATTTTGTTAAATTTCCTTTATAAATACCATGTTTCTCATGCCTTTTGATGGAAACACCTGAGGTGTGCAGATTCAAACGTGCCTGTATATGCAGCACTTCAAAGTATATTGACAGCAGTTAACGGGGTGGGGGTGGGGAAATACCCCTTAAGAAAAAAAGGCAGAGATTCAGTTACATTTTCCATTGAATAACAGGATAAAAACATTAGGTATTCCAATTTAAAACAGGCATTCAGGTGGAACTTTTTAACTGGGTAACTAACCAGGGAGCAGCTACGTTTCACATGTGGGAGACCCAAGACTGTACACTTCCCCTTCCCCAAAACCTGTAGCAACTAAAAAATACCATCACCTTGTAACTTTGAATGTATTATGCTTTGTCACTTGAATTTCAGCAGAGTTTTGTTACTAAACTAGAAGACAACTTAGTCGTTAATAAAAGTTATCATTTCATTATGAGATAGGCAAGGACAGATAAGAGAAGGGTACACTTCCCTTAAACTATTTTCAAATCTAGACTGAAACTCAAGGTCATTGTAGCAGAGGCCATAATGGATGAAATCCAACACTTATTCTCTGAACAGCAGCTGCTTAACACCACAGCACTTGCCAAATTTTGCAACCCAAACCAAGTTTGAAAGAACACTCCTCAGTTTCTATGTACTTCAGAACAGTAATTTTATTTTTTTAAAGGAAGTTATACTGCTATCTTGCTTAATTTTCTAAGTAAACCAACCATTACACATGAGAACAATGTAACAGAACTAGTGTTAAGATTAACACAATAAAGCTGAAGAGACATTGGCAAAGTACATGAAAAAAGACAATTATATTTGAACAGCATTTAAACAGAAGAAGTTCATATTTGGGAACCTGGAAAAATCACAGCAGTTCATAGAAGCATTTCTTCGCCACAACAGGAAGTACTGTTCATCAGCGCACAGAACCACAGTATATGAATCAGGATTTCTTTAACAGCTCTCCCTCTTCCTGCTCATTACACAACCTCAGACAAGCCAGGCTCGGTGAAGAGATGAGTCTGAGGGCACAGAGACAACCCTGCTCACCTTCAGACTCCCTTTTCAGCCATGTGAGCTCTCCCTCAAGAAACACGAGCAGGTGCAGCCCGCAACTTCCCGCACCTGAGGTTCATTTCTATAGCCCCAGAAGGGCGGTCCCCGCGCCAAAGAGGCCGATGGGGCTCAGCCCTGACTCATTCTGATCTGTAGTAACGACATTCCCTTTACCGCAGAGCCGGCAGGGTCCAGCCGGAACGGGCCCAGGCACCGGCAGCGCCGCGCGGGAGGGCCGAGGGTCCCCATGGAGCGGAGGGGACGAGCCGCTGCCGCCGGAAGGTGCCGGGCAGGGGGCACAGGGGGCTGCCCGGCGCCCAGCCCGGCAGCTCCTCACTCACACACAGCCGCGGGCGGTGTGTCCAGCCCGGCCGTGGGGGGGCAGCGGGTCCCGCCCGGCCCCCGCTCCGTCCCGCACTCACCCGCTCGTGGAAGATCGACTCCATGTTTACTGAGCCGGCCCGCAGCCCCCGCCCCACGTGACCCGACCGCCCAATCACGGCGCCTCGCGCCACCGCCCATCCGCGCACGGCCCGCCGCGCCCCCCCCGCCGCCGCCGCGGGGGCGCCCCCTGCCGGGCGGGAGGCCGGCGGGCGGATCACGGGCCACGAGCGCCCCCGCGCGGCGGGAGGCCCACACGCACCGCCCGCCCCCCCATCCATCGGCGTGTCCCGCTCTTCCAGTGCCGTGTCCTACACCGCCCCGGGAACGCCTGCTCCCCCTACGTCCCACGGCTCAGCCCCGCCGGTTCCTTGTGCTCACCAGCTGCCCGTCGCTCGCACCTTTCCATTCCTGTCTCAAAGCCACAGTACCCACTTGCCACTGTTCCAAACAAGCCTACAGAGGAAATCAGAAAAGAAACTTGTCCATTAAAAACCTGTCAATTAAAAAACCGAGCAACTGCCAACCACATTCTGGGGCTATGTGAAGTATTCCTTTGAAGGCTAGCTCATAAATTAGGGGACGAACTGCTGCTGACGGAAGGTGCCAGGCAGGGGCAGCGCAGCAGCTGGCCATATAAAATCCATTTCAATACACAGAGTCCATACCATACAGATAAATAACATAAATAGCATAAATTATTTTTGCATAGTTTTTCTTTATTACATAATTCCTCCTTCTCGCTTCCAGAGTACAGGACAAAATGTTCTCAACACTTATGGACTAATGGAATTCCCGGACACCTATTAGTCATGTAATTAAATCAACTTCAAAAAGTAACATTGGAAATTGAACTAGCACTGAGGAAATGCAGGTGTCCTTTTCTGTGGTATGCTCTCAGGGTAAAAATCATAATCCTGTTCTTTCAACATGTGAGATAAGATGATGAATCAAACAAAACTGTCTTCATTTTCATCGGCAGCTCTTATCTCCATGTCACTTCTTCACCAGGCTTCAACTCCCTGTGTAGAAATGAGAAAAACAGAGGGAAGAGACTAAAATTAGGATTTTTTTTGATAGAATAGTTACTAATAAATGTAATTAATTTTTCTACAATAGCTTAATTTTGAGATTTATGTATAAATTTAACTTTCCTTGCAATAGTTGTCAGTTAAAAATCTTTCAATACTGATAAACTTCTTCGTTTCTTTCCAAAGCTTGAACTTATTTCTATTCATTTAAGTCCTCTTATTTCTATTCATTTAAATGGTAGCACAGAACACCTGACCTCTAAGGAGTTAACACACTTTTAATCGGATCCATAATGAAAAATTCTATTTCTTTTAAATACAATAATTCATTACTTTAGTGGAAAGAGAGGTAGGTGTGTAATCAGAGGGTATTTTTGCAAGATGCTTAAACAGCATCCCAAGTTCACAGCAACTGTGGTAAGAAAAGTGCTAAGGTACCTGTGGGGTGGATTATGTCATAAGTTTTCTTTCTTACTCAAAAATTTAGGTGAGACCAGAGCTGAAAAAAAAAATCACCTGCAAACTGATAACATTGCTATTATTAATCCATACTACGCAACATGATTTTTTTTCTCGTTTTGTTAACCCTATAATCTAATACAGAATTAGAACTGACATAGATGAAGCAATGCCTGAAGTTCTCTAATCCAAATTCTGCCTGAGAAGTCACAGCCAGTAAACCCAAACTCGTCAGTGTATATAATCACAATGTGACTAACACGTCTGTTCTAGAGCAGGCAGCAGTTACAAGTACTGAGGCCATGTTACTGAGAACGCAGCTGTGCTGGGCAGGACACGTCTCCAGGATGAAGGACCACCGCCTCCCTAAGATCTTGCTTTATAGTGAACTTGTCACTGGCTGCCGCAGGAGAGGAGCCCCAAA